AGTTCTCTCCCGAGATTGCCACCGTCTCGAAGCCACCCCGTGACCTCCTGAAGAAGGACAACGGCTGGACTCGGGCCCCTGCTCAACAGTCAATGTTCGAAGAGTTGAACGCTACCCTGCCAACAGACCCTGTCTTGGCACTCTACTCACCGATGCACTCCACCATGGTATCATCAGACGTACCGGGCTATGGCATCTGTGTAGTCCTCTTGCAACAGCAACCTTCTGGCGAGTGGAAGCCTGTTTCCTATGTGTCTAGATCACGGACAGCTACGGACGTAAATATGCTACGTTCGAGAAGAAAGGCCCTTGTCATCACTTGGGCTTATGAACGCTTCAGCGATTACCTCACTGGTAAGCGATTCGTGGTTGAGACAGATCACCAGCCGCTTGTTCCCCTGATCAGCTCGACAGCAGTTGATAATGTGCTGCCTAGTGTCTTACGGTTCTGTTGAGTATGAATTAGGACAACGGACAACGGGAACAAGTTAGGTTGGTGGAACAACATTACTAGAGACGGGATGACTAAGACCAGGACGAACGAAAAGACTACATGGTGATAATTGAAGAGTGAGAAAGAGAAAGAGATCAAGTCTGAACGGCAAGATAAAGGGCTTGGGTAGCTATGGTAATTATGGACGCGCAAGTAGCTACCCAGGCCAACGGAACAAAAGGAGACAAAAGGTGAGTACGCGAGTGCATGCAGGCCAGCTAGAAAAGGTACGGGAGGAGGTACCTAAGATACCTCCCCTGAGTGAAAAAGAACCGCGACCACGCGGGAAATAATAAGATGATGAGAAAAATAGAGAGAAACAATGACCGAGGAAGAAGAGAAGAAAAAAACACACGCAAACACACACACACACAACGCACGGGCCTCACAAAAGTGTATACTAAAAATGCACTACAGATCATTACAACGTTCCTGTACTACTTATGGTGTGTACATTGCCAATAACAACGGGCCGAAACGCCCCTTCAAAAAATGGCACAAAAAATAACTATTGGAGTTTGACGAGGAACGTGAATTGCATTCTGATTACTAGTATTTTGCACGGCTAATACAGCCTAGTTACAATTTAATATACGACATAAATAGAAGAGCGTGGCTCACCATGATCGGACCCTAATATTAATGAAGGACACCCGCGCGCACACACACTACAAAATCACAAAATAAAATTAACCGAAAATAAATTTGACGATGAAGGACGGATGAAAAAGAAAGAGAGAAATAAAGAAAGTAGCTGACCTCCATGACTTGGACGAGACGAGGTTGACATCGAAGAGACGAGGTTGACATGGACGATACCAGGTTAACATAGACGAGAAGAGGTTGGAGACGAGACGAGGCTGGAGACGAGACGAGATGGACATGGACGAGACGAGTGGCGGTTGAGGACGAGGGTTGTGGGTTCCGAGCAATGGTCGGGCGCCAATGTTGAGTATGAATTAGGACAACGGACAACGGGAACAAGTTAGGTTGGTGGAACGACATTTATTAGAGACGGGATGACCAAGACCAGGACGAACGAAACGACTACATGGTGATTATTGAAGAGTGAGAAAGAGAAAGAGATCAAGTATGAACGGCAAGATAAAGGGCCTGGGTAGCTATGGCAATTATGCGCGCGCAAGTAGCTACCCAGGCCAAAGGAACAAAAGGAGACAAAAGGTGAGTACGCGAGTGCATGCAGGCCAGCTAGAAGAGGTACGGGAGGAGGTAACTAACAGTTCCGCCTGGGTCTGACACTGTTTGATTTCTCGATATCACACCTGTCAGGAAAGCACCTAGTCATTCCTGATGCACTCTCTCACTCTCCTGGTCTACAGTCGTCTTGTGCTAGTGCTGTAAGTTTCAACGAAAAGGTTGAACAGTTTGCCTCCGCCACTGTTGACAGCATACCGGCCTCCGATGCTCGCCTGGCAGAAATCTAAGACCATCAGCTAAACGATCCGGATTGTAAGTTACTTCGCCAGTATGTCGAAGGCAGCTGGTCACATCCCAAACATGTTTCGGCACCTTCAATCCGGCTATAGCACAACGCTGAAGACAACTTAACTGTATGCTTTGGTCTACTTATGTATGGACAAAAGATTGTCATCCCAAAGTCCTTGCGCCTGATGTACTCGAGCGACTCAACTCGGGCCATCTTGGCATCACGAAGTGCCGTGCCCGTGCCAAGCAGTCAGTGTGTTAACCAGGATTGAGTGTTCAGCTGGCCAATTTCATCGCGTCCTGCAAACCGTGTGTTCAACACTCACCGCCCGAAGGTTTAGACGCTCCGTCCTAACACTCTTCCCGACCTGCCATGGCAGAATGTTGCAGCCGACTTCATGCAATTCAACTCCGCAAACTACCTGGTTGTAGTATATTATTACCCCAGATATGTGGAGTTAGCATGTATGTCAGTACTGCCTGCTTAGGCCGCGGTCACACCGAAACAAGCCACTTTGGGCTTGTTATCGCTCAAGAACAACAAGAAGCAAAGGAAGCCCGGATCCTGAATTGCGACTTCGTGCTCATTTTATTTGTTCGGTGCACATGGACGCGATGATTCGAGTGACGTGTTTCCTGATTTTGAGCTTTCTGCTCCGCCGGTTGCTGTTCTTCAATTCCGTCGCAATCCACTCTCTTCTTCGTACCTTTCTTCGTGAATTCAGTCGTGAGTTTGGTGCCTTGTCTTGGCCTCGAACCACAGCTCCAACAATCTACGCTCTAGAGGAACCGGCAGTCCAGGAATCCATGGTCATCAGAGAAAATCAAACTGAACTATTGGATAGACAGACACTGTCAAAACCAAAGCCAAGGTGAAGGCATACATGCAGCACGGAAACAAGAAAGAACATCGATATCAGTTCGCCGCCTCATGTTCACTTCAAGTCTATATGAATGGTGTGTCCCAAGCGCACTCAAAATATTTTTTGAATTTCGGCTTTCAGCCGCTTGTACAAGCTGTGGCTGAAACAAGCTGAAAAAAACGGCTGCGAGTCAGCCACGGCTGAAAGTCGCTTGCAGAACATTTTCAGCCATTTCCATGGTAATCGTGACGTAAACAGGCGCTTTTTCGGCTGAATAGCTGAATCGAGCTCGGTGTGATCGCTGCCTAAGCCTGTTATCAACGAGTTGTAGTCCATCTTCGCAACCCATGTTTTCCTTGAGACGTTTGTCTCCGACCATGGCCCACCGTTCAGAGCGTACAGCTTGCAACCTACATGCAGCAGTACGGCATACATCACCACACGAGCAGTCCGCTGCATCCGCAGGGCAATGACCTCGCCGAGCGTACGGTCAGAGTCAGTCAAGTCGCTACCAGTGAAAGGGTCTGGCCTTTAAGGCGCGCTGCTAAGCTATTGCTCAACATCCCTCGAATGCAGGTTCAACCCAGCATAGCTTCTCATGGGCCACCATCTACAGTCCCAGACAAAACTCAGCTCCTCGCGGCGGGAAAAATTGCAATTGCGGAACATGCTTTTCGTCCTTTTTCCTTCAACATGACACTGCGCAACGGTCAAAACCTCACACCATGATGGCTTAGATTGCCGCATGTGTCGGTAGCAGGTTACCGGGTCCCTAGCTTCGCCAAACTACGGACATTGGTAGACAGTAGAGCCGTGAGTATGCCTATGATTGTAATGACTACACCGGGGAGTCGCAACTCTCGAGTAAAAGCCACGACTATCTGGTCTACACTATACTAGCACTATGACTCGTTGATTGTCAAGATTACAAGCATTGAGTACTGCTACATACAGTCAACTTCGCTTATAACGACACTCGGCGGGGCATCAAAAAGGGGTCCTTATTTGCGAAGTGTCGTTATACCCGAAGTCTCGTTATAATTATGTATTACAGTGGGATGGGACTTTGCTCTGGGCATGGAAATTCTGTCGTTATTCGCGAATTGTCGTTATATCCGCAGTCGTTATTAGCGAAGTTGACTGTACTTCCTCCGCATCATTAAAATTGTCACTTCGCATATCGCTATGTTTGTGACTTGGCTCATCTTAGTCAGATAGTCGGAATCTCTGTTTTCTGTGTTCGAACATTGGTGCGACCCTTCCTGCGCAATGTCTACTTGTTACTGAAGCCGTGGTGGTCTCGGACTTTGTCGGAGCTCTCTTCCGCACCAAGCAAATTCATTGCGCTTCGCACAAGTCCGCCCCAGAGCGCATATCGTTTTTCTGGAGTTCGTGCCGTCCCACATCGTTCGCGTGGGCATTTATCAAAGCTGCAAGCTCGAGTGTAAGTGTAAGACTCCTGGTATCTCTCCTGAATATGAAATGCTGAGGTTGACAATGGCAAGAACAAAGTGTTCTCGAATTCCTAAAATGTGGTACTTGTGGCGCATGTTGCTGTGAAGGTAGCAGGTCTGAAAACCCCAACAAAATCGGCGAAGCGCTTGCCAAGGAAAGAAGGTGCGGAACTGCTTACCCTATTCCGCTGGAAGGTCGTTACAGAATACTTTATAAATGCTAGCTTGTCTTCATCGAGGGCCACCTGGAGGCATGGATCGCTTGAAAACGAAGTTTCTTGACCTGAATTTGAACGTGCGTCATGTTCAGCGTATTGTTGAGTGCTGAAGGGTCTGTCTCAAACTCTGATGAAGACGTTGACCTTAGCTGCAAGTGCAGCGAAGCGGGAGGCCACAAACTAAAGCTTGGTCCGTCGACAATGCTCTGCCTCAATTTCTAGCTGATTTCTTTGCCTTTCGAGTGTAGAAAACAATTTGGAAAAATCGCTGTGTGAAGTGACAGTTTTAATGACGCGTAGGAAGTACATGTACATGTACTAGTGTTGCACGCTCACCGGTGCACTCACTAAACTGCATTGAAAACATCATTGCAAAGAGGTGCGTTTAGCACATTAGAGGGGTTTCCGGGCAACAGGAACCTACCTACCTACCCCATGCGTACGCGCCTGCACTCATTTGCCAAAGGTGCACACTCTTTGCTTATAGACTCGTGACTATTACAGTTGAAGAGATTTCTTAACTCACTCTGCCCTCTACGGAGACCATGTCGGGCTGGACATCTAGTAGATACTTGACGACTTCCAGATGTCCATTCTCAGCAGCGTCATGAACAGGAAGGTCACCAACCTGTGTGCAGGTAAAAACAAGATCAGACATTCATATATGCAATCTATCTGCAGTCTGTTTCTTATATAATATGATGCGCAATCTACTGCGAGTCACGGGATTCTAATGTAGGCTACTCTGATTGCTCAATTGGCAATGTTCCTCTAAGCTAGGTCTGGAAAAAACAATTGAACACATTAGCATCTCACGATACACGACAGTGGCTTCTAAACACACACACACACGCGCGCGCACACACACACACACACACACACACACACACACTCACTCACTCAAAAATTCTGCAATGGAAAAATGGCACTTAGGGAATGTACCTTGCTACTACCAAATAAAACCATTACTTTCTGGCATTGAGAATGGTCTAATACACAAATAAAACCATTACTTTCTGGCATTGAGAATGGTCTATTACACAAATAAAACCATTACTTTCTGGCATTGAGAATGGTCTATTACACAAATAAAACCATTACTTTCTGGCATTGAGAATGGTCTATTACACAAATAAAGCCATTACTTTCTGGCATTGAGAATGGTCTATTACACAAATAAAACCATTACTTTCTGGCATTGAGAATGGTCTATTACACAAATAAAGCCATTACTTTCTGACATTGAGAATGGTCTATTACACAAATAAAGGCATGGATAGTCTACGTACATAACTCCTTTGAACTGCAATGTACACATCATCTATCACACTACATGTCTGCATTGATATCAGACCAGGTGTGTTTGAAACCGACTGGACTAGGAAACATGTGACAATGCTACATTGCTACTCCAAAATGTACTTCTCAATACACATTATGGTTGAATGAATTTACCATGTGACGCTCGACCGACACCAGTCAATTATCTCGTCATACTCTCCACCCATAACCTCAGAATGATTATCATGCTTCTTGCATGAAATGGTGTGCTAGGATGGTAAGTTTCACCCATGTTCCTGACAACATGGTTCACATTCTCTACAGCCTACCAGAGTACTTTACTCACCATCACCAACTATCCACACACTGTCTTCTATTCTACAAGTAATCTCAGCATCGGTTCTAAAATGAGCGCGTACATGTCACGGACGTCGTGTAGCAGTCCATGGGTGTCGATATTTGTGGTAATAAAATGGTTATGAGTTTCCAATCTGAAACAGACACCAATGTGGTTCACCAGCATAAACACGGTTGCTGTACAGGCAAAGTCTGGCATCTTTGACTAGTACATGAGCCAATATTGAGTCATCCTTCAATGTACAGGCAGAGTGGTGTGCAACTTACCGAATCAGTTTTGTCCACCTTGGCTTTACACTTGACAAGGTGCTTGGCAATATCGATGTAACCCCGCGTACATGCTCTATGTAGTGGAGTGCAACTCCATGAACCCTAGTAAGAACAACATAGGTAGTGTAGGCATGCGTACACCCACACACACCACACATGTACAGACCGCCAGCCCAACAACACGTATACACGCACACACGCGCACGCGTACGAACACACGCACACAGAACACACACACACACACATGCACACACGCATACATGCACACATACACACACGCACAGAACACACACACACACACACATATACACATACACACACACACATACAGACAGACAGACATATACACACATACTCGTACTTGTTGCTCACTACCAAAACAGGTCACGTGGCTCTCCCCGGGAGAGGGGAGAGAGACTCGAAAGGAATCTTGGAAAGATGACTCAATTGGCTATTGAACCGCCCAACGGCCGAAACCCCCTGAAATCCCCAAAACTCTGGCTGGACTTGAAAATGATCCCACTTATGGGCTCACCACAAGTCAGTAAGTGGGCGAGGACAAGGTGCAGAAAAAGGATTGACGGCATCAGGGTATCCGTCCCGTGATCCAACTGCAGTTACCCCTGCCCCCAGTGAAGGTAATACTTGCTACTAGTGTGGGTGGCTAAATCAGAGTGGATCTGATATAAGCTTCACTAGCACCATTGATTACACAAGAGTTAATCTAGCCAGAAGCAATCCATGGTTAACAGATATGTACAGGTCCTCCCTCGTTAGTAGATAATCTCTGGGCCATCGAAAAAGTTATCTTATAACGAGACTTATCTATACTTCAAATAGAAGAAAATTCCTCCGTATCCAAAAACTTCGTGACTTTTTAACAGTGTTTTTAGCAAGAACCTGCTCAACGAACCTCGCCAAAGGCTGTCATCGACAACCCACATTCATGTCGAGGTAAGTTTGGTTGATCCCGAACAGATTCTCCACGGCAGTCATGCTCGCACGGCAAGATGAAACATTTCAGTCGTCGTGCAACCAGCGCAGACTTCAGATCAGAATGTTGACGGCCTGGCTTTCTTCGCCTCACTCCAGTCAGATGTCTCCTTTGTCGCCAAGGGGAATCGCAGGGACCTCCTCAAAGCCATTGTAGAACGCTGGGAGGATTATCCTGGCGAGAAAATGCGAAGCGTGTGGATGTGCTTGTACGACTCGTTTCACGGCATAATGGAGGTCGCGGCTTGGAACGATTGAATAGTCGACACCGATTCGGACACAGCTCTGGAGATGAAGAGGACGTAGCCAAAGTCCAGCGTCGGATCATCACTGTAGCTGACAAGAATCTGAACGAAATGCGAGCGGAAGCAGCGACTGTTGGCGATGCGGAGTCAGTGTCGTCAGGTGACAATGACACGAGCGACGAAGACTCTGAAAAAACTCAATCTCATTCGTCTGAGTTGGTTTTTTCTCTGTATATAGCTTGTAAACAGGTTAGACAATGCCACGAGTGTTATTCCAAGTCAAACGGAACAATTCCAGAGCTGTGCGCAGCTTTCAAAAAAAAAGTAACGAAGTTTTTGTATACGGAGGAAGTATATGAACCCTGGAACCAACAAAGGTGGCAGGTACAACATTACACCTTCAAGCAGCTGAGACCATTGGCAACAGACCCAACACAATCAGGCATAAGTGTGCCCACGAACCGGACTAGCTGGCACACACACACACACACAAACACACACACACACACACACACACACACACACCCACCCACATACACACACACACCCACAAACCCACACATACACAGAACACACAAACACACACACACACACACACACATACACAGAACACACTCACACACACACACATGCGCAAACGCACAAATGCACAAGCATAGCTGCATCATTGGTCGCAATGGTATAGCAATGTTCACGGCTTTTTAAGAACATTGTTGAGATCGCAAGGGCCTGTAGAAACACGCCCTGCAAGTTGTGGATCTGATCTCTGCTAATTGGTATGTATAGTGAAGATGTTCCACTGTATTATACCTATTGACTGAAGCCATACTAAACAATGGTCATGGTTATGTACACTGTATACCAAGCAAATTTTAATCTTGTAGAAAATGTCTGAAATGCTCTGCTCGTTGTTGTCTGAACAATAGAAGTAGGGACTCTACTGACTCACTCAGTACCCTTGCTGGAAGCATACAAATAGGTACTCGATAGGGGATAAGGCAGGGTAAGGGTAATGGATTGAGATACATCATTACTTCACATACGGCAGGTCAACAGGAGCTGGCTATCATCCTATGACATAACTATCCATTAGTGACTTCGCATTATTTTTTTATTTTTTTAAGGTAAACGCTATTTGATTAAAAGGTCCATAATGATAAACGTAGAAAGGAAAAGGACATATGGATACGAGTTAAGAGTAACTCTCCATCACTGTAACTGGATACTATATACAGTCAGAAAGTGCAATAACTAGGCACCAAAACTGACAAGAGTACTGAGACATTCAACGTATATAGTATCCAGTTACAGTGATGGAGAGGCACTATTAACTCGTATCCATATGTCCTTTTCCTTTCCACATTTATTTATGGCTCAACATCCCAGTTTCAAATAATGATAAATTCCTTTGGGATTTCAAGGCAGAGTACTCCTGACGTAGCTAGACATTGACCTGCAAGTCTTGTTTGAGCAGAGTGATACCACCGATATCACATACCTGCATCCACCCATTCTACTCGATATGGCATTTGAGGAATGTCACACTGTTCTGACTACAGCAGTCAGTATCTTATAAAAGCATTTTAGATCAGGCAACAGACACCCTTAGCAAGAAACGTTATGTTGTAACGGTATTACCGTCAGGGGGAAATACCGTCATTTGGGTTTGACCTTTAGCAAGATGCACGCAATTTTTAGTACGCTGTTGCCACGAGAATAGCTTTTATTTCGCGCGGTACAACCATTTATGTCACCATATACGCGATGCAAGGTGAAATCCGTACGGACTATGCAATATTTGGCCAAAAAATGTACCGTTGTTCACAGCGATAAATCAGCCCCCATAACGGTTTTACGCTGCAGCTTCAACCCTATTTGGGTGGTCAAGGTACGAGTACCGTAAAAAATAGCGTTACCGTTGTTTGCTGAGGGCATCTATTGTCAAAAGTACTGCCGGGCGGAGAAGAACGAAGTGCCGAAGAATTTCCCAGCTACCAAATACAGCATACCAATGTATACACGGTGTATACACGGTAACTCAACTGTGCATAGACTGTAGTAAATGATAATAAGAAAGGTCTAGGCTAGGAGGCAGCCCCCCTCGCACCCAGTTCTTCGACGACCGACAGTACTGTAGCTAAGTTGCTAATTTGCGCTGAGTCATATGTTTACTTCCCGAATGCTGTGTTTCACTCATATCTGACATAAAATCATGCCGCAGAACGAGACTCTCGTACTTTAAGAAACTTGTAGTTCCTTGGTCCTTTTTTCTTCTATAAATTAAAAAAACTTATTAAATTGATGTACCTCCTAACCCTCTAACCCCCCCCCCCCCCTTAGTCAGTTAGTGTTCACATATACATGCATGGACTGTCATACGCATGTATGCACGCGACACCGTTTGTGCTCCTATCCATTTACATGTTCCGCTTCCCCTGTACGCATGCACGCACACCACATTCTGTTGGCATCAGGTCACAGACCTTTCCGGAGCTAGTTGTTGTTTGGAATAAAGCAAGAGAACAACATTACACCCCCCCCCTTACATCCCCCTTTTACCTAAAATTACACCCCCTTACCAAACATTACCCCCCCCCCCCTTACCTAACATTACACCCTCCTTACCTAACATTACACCTCCCTCCCCCCCCCCCCCCCCCCCCACCTCCAAGAAAGACACAATCACATGCACAATTTGCACACATGCAAACACCTCGACATTCACATTTAAAGCCAGTCAATGTAAGTTACCGAGCAGTGTGCTTAGTACCTGGGACAGTGTCAGCAATGCAAGTACACATACACACAGACCTACCAAAGTGCGATACAACTGGTTGATCACTGTTTCTCCGCAACAGTCTGCAAGGATGCAGGCACACTCCAGGCGGCCACCATCGCAGGCCTCGAATAGCAGCCGACCCTGGTATGCAGGAATGGTATGAACACAAAATCAAGCAACATACACACGCACGCACGCATGGACACACACATACACACACACACACGTACTCACGCAAACACACACACACTCACACACACACACATGCATACACACGCACGCACACATACACGAATACACACAAGCATGTATATTCAAACATTGATGTACATCCATATCCACATACTTGTTCTTTCTCACAGACAACAACAGTTGCTGGTCACTTGGGTCTCACGAAAAGGGGAGAGGGACAATCCATTAATTATGATATTTCAAGATTACTTAAGTAGCTATGAAACGACCACTTTTCACACCAAGGTGAATGTCTGGACCCTGGGTGGTTTGGAGATGATCCCACATAGTCTGGACTGCTAAATCAGAGTGGGTCTGATAAAGGATTCACTGGTACCATTGATTACACAAAAAAATAATAAAAAACGTCCAAAAGTAGTCCACTGGTACATATGTATGTATATTGTGAACAAAGACTAAGAAAGATAGGAGAAATCACATGGAAACGAGTCACGAAGCAACTATTCACGACTGTAAGAAGATATTACTCAGTCAGAAAGTGCGATAACAGGGCACAAAACTGACATGTTACTGAGACATTCAAGGACCTGAGACCTAGCTTTCACACACCTCCAGTGCGCAAACCAACAGCCTTCCAGCTTGGAAGGTTCAAGGTTAATGTAGGGACAATGAGGGGAAGGTGAGCGCAGCGAAAATGTGCACACGCTAAGTCCCATGGCAACAAAGAATGCTTCCCCTTTTCTTTATCTCTGATATTGCTGACCCACCCAAGTTGGGTGTTGTGTTGCTTTGCTGCTTCGAATTGTAGTTAGACCGCATTGTCATGTTATAAACTGGTCCCGTCATGGTCCTGTAACAGTCAGCATTCTTTGTTGCCATGGGACTTAGCTTATGCACAGTTTCGCTGCACTCACCTTCCCCTCATTGGTCTTAACATAACCTTGAACCTTCCAAGCTGGAAGGCTGTCGGTTTGCACACTGGAGGTGTGTGAGAGCTAGGTCTCAGGTTGTTGACTGTCACAGTAACATGTCAGTTTTGTGCCCTGTTATCACACTTTCTGACTGCTTATTATATTGTTACAGTCGTGGATAGTTGCTTCATAACTCGTTTCCATGTGATTTCTTCTATTTTAATTATATTTATTGGCTCAGTATCCGAGTTAAAGACTAAGAAGTGTTTATTGAAGTTGATACCAACACAGACGACAGGCACAACATTATAACAACACGCAGTGGAGTCTGATGGCTATAGATCCATCCATGATCTTGCTATAGACAGCTGTCACACACATGTCGTGATCTGCATCCCGATGTACCACTTGTAGTGTAATGACTGCTGTCATGACTCGCCTGGTCTAGTCGTGCATAGCTGACTCTAGTTACTCTTGTCCCCTACTGACATTGTGTTTCACCATTAGTACACTTTGCCTCTACTCTAGTCGGTGCATGAATAGCCGTTCCTAGGTTTACATGTTCCATCGTGCAGTCCGTAGTGCACGCGACATTCTCGGTTTGACTTCCGCTGCTCTTGCGCATGCCAGTTATTATTCCTTTGTGATGGTAGAGAGAGGTTGTACATTGTCTTGGCTCGTATCCAGTAACTCTTTGGGAATGAGGGTACGGATTTGAGAAGTAAGTTGGAATCACTAACTGTAGTTACTTGTGTGACTGGATTGGTTGGGATTAGTAAAGTGAAACTCTCTCGAGACGTTTAGGTTGTGCGTCAATCGAGACATGGTGCTGTGACCAGGATGTCGTCACCCAACGAACAAACAACCTCTGAACAGGAACAGCCTGTCGAGTCAACCGGTGCAGCTGCTGCAGAATTACCGGTGACCCAAGCCGCTCAAACGAGCGTAGATCCACGAGCCGTGGATGGTACAGCGGATGAGTCCCATGAGGCCGGTAATGAGGACGCCAGCAAGGACCAGACCGATGGCACGGACGCTGGTGCAGGAGACCCGGAGCGGCTGCTAGTCTCGTCCAACCCCGAATACAAGCAGATGATCCAATCGAGGTCCAACATGAAGCGTCGACTGACGAGGGTGAGGCAAAAGATAAAAATTCACCTAGACCTGCTAGGAACTGATTGTTTCAGTGCAGACGCTCTTGGCCGCCTAGATGTTTCTGCCGCACGTTCCCTTTACGATGAGGCGTCCGGTTTGAAGTCAAACATCGAGGGTATCCAAGACAATATTAGACGGAGCTTAGAAGACGCAAACGAGGATAAGAAATTAGATGAACAAGACGCGTGGGAGAATAATTTCGAACTTGAATGCGTGTGTTTGCTGAGGCTCGCACAATGTTTACAACAATGCGACCACCATTCTCGCACTCAGTATGAAGCTGAAGACGAACGCCGCACCCGACTCCGATTACTAGAAGAGCATGGGCCACGCGCGCTAGATGTTCTTGATGCGACCATGTCTAGCCCTCGCAGCGGACCAAAACCAACATGTCATGCATCGCCAACACTACATGCGTGGAGTGAGAAGAGTGCCGACACGGATATCGACACTGCTGCTTCAAGTGCTTGTGACACTGTTGAGCCACCGCGACAGTCCCAATGTGAGTCGGCTGAACAGTCACACGCACAAAGTGCAGTGCTTCATGACATTGTACATGTAGTAGATGCAACTGAGTCTCCTGCCAGCGCAGCAAATGCACAGGAAACCAGCGCAGCAGTCAGTGTCAGAAGCCAACCAAGATCACCAGTGCCACCAGTCCCCAAACCACGTGTCAGGCATGCCATTGGCCCTGGCACTGGTAGAACTGCTGCCACTCCAGCAGTGCATGCGGTGCCCAGCCCAAGTCCCACCTATGGCAGTGGTGAGGAGGACAGGGCCTATGACTATGAGCATTACCTCCAGCAGGAGACCCAGGACAGACAAGCAGTACAACAGCTTCAGCCAGATGCAGAAACATTCTATCCACCAGACCATTCTGTCGCCGCCAGGACAGCCCCTCCACCAGCCACAACCTGGCCACGCGATGCTATTGCCCCACTGGAGCAAGCTCTTCAGGGCGCAGTTATGAATGTCGCCCAGGCTTTGAGCCAAAACCAAACGCCACAACACACCAGCATATCCGCTGCAGCCGGCCCAAGCTCCGTTGTGTTCAAGCTAAAACCGATGGAAATACCGAGCTTCGACGGGCAGGTCACCAACTGGCCCGATTTTTGGGACCTGTTTGAAACTGCCGTGGACAAACAGCCAATGTCCGATGTCGTTAAGCTGAGCTACTTGAAGAGTGCCCTCACTGGCCGAGCTGCCCACACGCTCGCTGGTCTGGCTATCACCAACAACAACTATGCCACGGCCGTACAGCTACTGAAAGAACGATACGGACGGACAGATAATATTGTTGCTGCCCTGTATACCAAGCTGCAGCGATTGCAAAGCACATCGTCCAAACACCGTGATATCCGGAACACCATTGACAACATCGAACGGATACTACGACAGCTGTCTGCCATGGGCATTAGCGTTGAACAGCAGCCACTATTGGTGCAGCACATTTTGTCCAAGTTCCCTACGGAAGTACTCACCAAGCTAGAGGAATGGCGAACATCGAGCCATCAGTCGTGGACGGTCGCCACCCTGCGATCCGCCCTTCAGCGGTATGCCGAAATCCACCGGAATTTGCGGGAAGGTTCCGAGACTTCTGCCTCTCAGTCTTCAAGGACACCGGCCACACAGACACAGCACGGCTCACCAATGACCATGCAAGGAACTGGACACGCTCTTTCATCGCAGTCAACGCATAGTGCGCCTCCACGTCTATGTGTCTTCTGCAAGGGGACTCACTTCAACGACCAGTGCGTCACCTACAAGCTGGCTCGGACAAGACAACAGAAGCTCCGAGAACAAGGTCGTTGCTTCATTTGTCTGCGACGGAGCCATATGGCGTCCCAGTGCCCAGAGAAAACCAAGGCGTGTTTTCACTGCAGCAAGACCGGCCACAACCGAGCTATCTGCCCAGCCCATGAGAGACGTGAGCCCTCCAAAGGCAGCTCAAGGCCACAACCAAATGGCTCACAACCTGCCAGGGCCGTCTCCACACAGGGTAATGATGAGGAACTTGTAAATACGTGCTCCGCCAGTCTCGTGTCAGAGGGTCCCAGCGACAAGACTGGTGCAGTATTCCTCCAGACAGCACAAGTGCAGATTCAAGCTGCCGATGGTAGCTTTATCACCGCGCATGCGTTACTGGACACCGGCAGCAATCGCACGTACATGAGTACCCAGCTCAGCAAGCAGCTTCAGCTGCAGCCGGAGAGACAAGAGTCATTGACCCTCATCACCTTTGGAGTGACACACCCACGCAGTGTTGTTACATCGGTCGTTCAGACGTCCATCTCACTGTCCGACGGACAGAGGTACCCCATCAAAGCGAATGTACTCGACACCATTACACGACCTATCCGACGCTACCCTCTTCCATCTGAAGATGCGGAGTTCCTGGCAGGCGAACCATCCATTCAAATGGCAGACACCATACCATCAATAGCCGAGACGAGGGCCATTGACATTCTCATTGGTTCTGATCATTACGGAAATCTTGTGCAAGGATCACCGCAGCGTCTACCGTCAGGTTTGTACGTGATGGATACGCTCTTGGGTCACATCGTCACAGGACAGTGTTCGTCCAAGTCGGATGACAGCAACAGCTCAACGCTTCTTGTCATGACGCAGGCAAGCACCGGTCTACAGCGTCCGCTATATGACTACATGGCAACCGCCGACTCTGCTCTGCTTGCTGAAGTCGAACCAAACTTGACGGAGTTTTGGTCGCTAGAAAGGATCGGTGTGGAGGACCCAGCAAGTCTCCCAACAGATGACGACACAGTTCGACAGTTCGAGGAGACCGTCACGTTTGCCGACGGCCGCTACACAGTCCAGTTTCCATGGAAGCCCGACATGCAGCTTCCACACAACAAGGACCTAGCCTACGGAAGGATGAAGTCACTGGGGAAACGGCTTGCAGCAGATCGAGACCTGCTGACCAGGTACAACGACGTGCTGCTGCAGCAGGAACGGCTTGGCATTATCGAGCAAGTCACAGAGAAAACCAAGTGCGGTCAACGCTCGCACCATCTGCCGCACCATCCAGTGTTGTCTCCTTCGAAGGCTACCACCAAACTCCGAGTGGTCTATGACGCCAGTGCGAAGGTCAATAAGACAGCACCGAGCCTGAATGACTGCCTGAATCAAGGGCCGTCCCTCCTGCCTAGCCTCTGCGGCATTCTGCTACGATTTCGCCTGGCCCCGATCGTGCTAATCTCAGATATTGAGAAGGCATTCCTGCAAGTAAGGATTCAAGAGACAGACCGTGACGTCACCCGATTTCTGTGGTATCGTGACATCACTAAGCCGGACGTCATCGTGGACAACATTGAAGTCTACCGGTTCTGCCGACTACCATTTGGCATCATCAGCAGTCCGTTCTTGCTGGATGCCACAATCAGGCATCACCTTGACAAACACAAGACAGCCACAGCAGCCGAAATTCGCAAGAACATCTACGTGGATAACATCATGCTGACGGCTGGTACTGCAGAGGAAGCCGAGGTCAAGTACCGCGAGACTCGGCAGGTGTTCAACTCCGCGTCCATGAATGTACGTGAGTGGTCGTCCAATGACCCTGCTACCTCCTCTGTGTTTGACCCGAGTGTGACGGCGACGAACACGAGCCAGAAAGTTCTCGGCCTGCAGTGGGATACCGTCGCCGACACATTCCACATTCCAGGTGTGAGCTCCGAGTCGCCTGACGTCGACAGCATAGCATCCAAACGGCGTGTTTTGCACAACGTAGCACGCATTTATGATCCACTCGGACTCTTCAACCCAGTCACCTTCCATGCCAAAGTGTTTTTGAGAACGCTTTGGAGGGACGACCTGTCTTGGGACGACGCTCTACCCACAGAACGACTCGAGCAATGGCAGTCCATAGAGGGTATACTTGAGCCGGTCGCAGACATCCGTATCCAACGCCGAACCTCCACTCTGAAGTCAGTCACCGATCGACAACTTCATGTCTTCTGTGACGCATCAAAGGACTCCTATGCAGCGTGTGTCTACCTCCGTGAAGCCAACGGACCTGATGCGACATCGACACTGCTCTTCTGCAAGATGCGATTGGCGCCAGCATTACACTAGGCCCTTTCGTGAGAACCACCCCGCTGCGTTTGTTCATTAGATCCAAATTGCTTTCTATTCGTTATCACCCTTTCTTCTCTTTACCCAGTAGTGTAACATTTTGCTGGCCGGAGTGTCGTGATCTGCATCCCGATGTACCACTTGTAGTGTAATGACTGCTGTCATGACTCGCCTGGTCTAGTCGTGCATAGCTGACTCTAGTTACTCTTGTCCCCTACTGACATTGTGTTTCACCATTAGTACACTTTGCCTCTACTCTAGTCGGTGCATGAATAGCCGTTCCTAGGTTTACATGTTCCATCGTGCAGTCCGTAGTGCACGCGACATTCTCGGTTTGACTTCCGCTGCTCTTGCGCATGCCAGTTATTATTCCTTTGTGATGGTAGAGAAAGGTTGTACATTGCCTTGGCTCGTATCCAGTAACTCTTTGGGAATGAGGGTACGGATTTGAGAAGTTGGAATCACTAACTGTAGTTACTTGTGTGACTGGATTGGTTGGGATTAGTAAAGTGAAACTCTCTCGAGACGTTTTGGTTGTGCGTCAATCGAGACAACACACGACCGCATGCACATATTCACAAATGCATGCACACATGCACACACACACACACACACACACACACGCACGCACACACACACACACACACAGAAACACATATGCCCACATACCACCATACGTGCGGGCACGCACACACACACACACACACACACACCTTGTCCTGGTCCTGGTAAACATTGCCATTACGGTCACGTGCCCGCTTGCGGGGCCGACAACATGGAACGACGAGTGACGACAGAAAGTGGAACGTCACCTTTTCTGGTTTGAGAACACCCGTCGCAGCTTTCTTGAAAAGTCACTTCACATCACTGGACAAGACTCGTCTCCAAGTTCGGAACTCTGTTCTTTAAAGTCATCTCAAGAAGCATGCGTATTGCGCGGCTGTGTCAGGTGTATCTGGGAGATCGTGTACGATTGTCGACCAGGCAGCGGTTTGCGAAGACAACATTGCACAAGAAAAACATATCGGTAGTCAAGAAGATACTAGGCCAAAAAAGCAGGAACTCAAACGGTAGGAGTAGGCACCTCGTTCAAAAGTATCTTTTCAGTGAAACAGTGAGTCTGTCCATTGAAATTGCTGGAGGAATCAGGGAATGGCGATGATACACGGTGAAGTCAAGCCACAGCATAGGCCAGTGGACAGTGGATAAACACAAGCTGTGATCACAATTGGCACGTTTACTCGTGAAACCACACGTTTATTCATTTTTGCTGCCTTTTGGTGCGTTATGCGTGTGGAACGAACCGAAGTGAAAACTCCAACATGTTCTATTTTTCAGCGCGTACATAATGTACATGTCTGTGACCAGTCCAGCAGCAGGCCAACAGCCGCCAGTGCTCCCAGTGTCACCGATGGTTTCTGAGTGCGGGTGGCAATGCAGTCCATCGCTGTGCCCAGTCCAGTTCTGCCCTGAATGTTGCCAATGCCACAAGCTCTTCACCTGTACGCCTATGTATTCGGAAACCGTGCTGTACCGCTCACTGTCCCATTTGTGAACGTTACTGCAAGTCGATCCGGGGCTTTGCTATCCACAACTGCAACCGATCCACCAGGCGCCCAACTGCTGATGAAAGGGACAAGTTCCAATTGCAATGTCAGAATTGCCAGAGGCGTTTTAAAAGGCGAAGCGACGTATCCCGAAACCAACGCTCATATCTCCTCTTGTCTCCGCCTCGCTCAACGAGAAACAAGTGACCTACATGGCAGTGTATACCAGGACCAGGGACCAGGGACCAGGGACCAGGTGTGTGTGTGTGTGTGTGTGTGTGTGTTTGTGTGTGTGTGTGTGTGTGTGTGTGTGTGTGTGTGTGTGCGTGCGTGTGTGTGTGTGTCTGTGTGTAGGTGTATAACTATGTGCATATTACCTACCAGTAATGACTTCTTCTCTTTATCTCTGTTGGTATATGTCAGGTTTTCTACACCTTCCTTCAAGGTACCGTCCTATTGAAGGATTGCCTTCCTCAACTCCTCTTGATCATTCCTCTGTATAAGGCTGAGCAGGTACTCTGCCTTGGGAAGAGTCTCCATTGCCATGGCTACACCTGTAGTACACCGGACAAAATGAGAGAAATTCCAGTCAATGCTAATGTATGCTATGTTTGTCATAACTATGCAAAACATCACAAAACAATAGACTCTCATAGGTATACTGTGCCACTCCTGCCTGGATTGGGAGTTGAGTAGAAGTGTGCAGATAAGAATGGAATGGTTGAGTAGCAAGTAGAGTGTCGAGCACACTTGAGGATCTCTACGTACATGTCAAGGCATATGAAATCATAGCACATAGTATTTGCCTGGTCAGACAGCAGCACATAAATACTCATGGGATTACTCTACAAATCTTCATAGTAACTTCACAACACGACGGCAACAGCTACTGGGTTTAATGTTGCAGGAGCAAGAATCCAATTCCCTTTTCAACTCCAAATTGCAAATAGACTTTGCCACTCATTTAGCGTTCAGTAGCTACAACCAACACCAAACAGCATAATGCATGATTATCCTGAAGCTGCCTTTAGCTACAAAGTGGAGGACACCACTGGTACTCAATGTATGCTGTGGGGTAGGAAACATTTGAAAAAAGTTTTTTTTCAATGTAAGGTATATTAACACTGGAATTTATCGGCACGTGCATCTGGTTTTGTATGACGTGCAGCAACATGCGCACAGGTTGCCTTGGTTATAAAATGGCTGACTTGGTCTTGAAGGAAACAAGTTTGCTTTCCAGTGGCAAGTAGTCATCTCTTGAGTGTGTCAAAGATTTTGTGTGGCTCTGATTTATGATATGCGGAGTTCACAGTGCAGGGAAATATGTTCCCAACCTGCCAGTCTTCATATTATTGTGTTTTCATGCTGTCGCCAGTCTAAGTTACTCAAGGTCTGACAAGAAGCTTAACGATCAAGTACACAAACATGTCCTCTCATAACAGCATATATTGTATGGCTACAAAGTAATAGAATATTAGCAAGAGTACTATAATCCCCAAGAGTGTGCACCTCCGCTATGAGTGCTGTCCTGACAGAATTTCATGTTCAACAGTGGACTTCATATAGCATTGCATCATAAAATTTTTATGATGCAATGCTCATTGTTGTACACATATTCTCAGACGTATGCAGGACCTGTGGCGGACAAATCCCCTCTTGATCATGCAGAAATTAGTTCAAGAAAAAAACTGTGATGCGTTCACGCCCTGTACAAAATGTCGTGAATCACCCGTGGAAGGAGCATTGCATCGTGAAAAAGACGTCAACTTGAAATTCGGTCTGGACCGCATGGTATGCAGGTGTTGCACAATGTCAGGGGTTGTAACTCTTGATATTAGTCAGAGGTTCAGTAAAACAATTACCATTCATTTTCGACCCCATCCCCCCGCCCCCCTCCAACACACATACAGACACGTGGCCAGACACATGAACCCATGCACACACACCACCACCATGAATCTGCAAATGCACTGGATGTGCACCAACAGATTTTCTCTTATAGCAACGATAGCGAACAATATCTGAATGAGACAGATCAAGACTTGCACGCAAACACACACACACACACACACACACACACACACACACACGCACGCATGCACCCACACCCACACACACGCACGCACGCACACACTCAAAAACTAGAGTGCCCCGTACATGCAGGTGTATATTTTTGTCATTTTCACTAGTGATATTCTTTCAAGGATGTGATAATATGATACACAATGATTTGTCAAGATGATAAAGACAAAAACAATTTTTATTCATTGCTGACTGCGCTTCTTGACATGCATGCAGAGTTGCTCAATAAAATCCGGTCGAGTGAGTCAAGTTTGTGCTTTGTAACATTTCACTTAGCATCATAATTCCTTTCTCAGCCTAGCGTTCGCAGGTCTGGGGCTGTGCAACGCCTGGCACGTACTTGTTTGACACGACTGGATTTCATTGAGCAGCTCTGTACTTGTACTCCCACGTGATATATTCCTGCCACGAATGATAAACAGACATTGTACATACCCACCATGCCCTTTCCCTCCAATCACAACCATGGACAAATACACCGATCGCCCCCCCCCCCCCCAACACACACGTACACACACCACACGTACACACACCACACGCATACACACGCATAATTATACCTACACACACACACACCACTCAAGCACCATACACAGCGGCAAAGTACTCACCACCAATGGCACCATATGTAGCGTGATCTCTCAATCAGCAAGCACCGCTACCATCAAAAATACTTCGCAAACTGCAAGAATTCTATCTCAAGTCTAAAGAAGAACTCAGTCGTAAAATACAATTTTACGCGAAGGGAATTTCTTTCACTGACACAGCCAGCTGATCTAGAAAAGACGACGGGCTGGTCTCCAGCCAGTAGATATTTGTACTAGTCCACTATCTAGTCATCTTCACTGTCTGTCCTCAGTGTGGCTCAACCGACAGCTGAATGATCTGTGCCGTTCTCAAACTCACTGACTGTTATCATTATTGGTTTGTCCGCAAAGCGCTGCATGAACTGCCTGTCTGTAGGCGCAGATCCAAGGACGGTAGATCTACGTGGTGCGTGCGCCTCTCCGTGGTCTTCCGATCTCGACGAGTCAGTGATGCTCTTGTCTTGGCGCCGTGGGCCACACTCCTGTCATAAACCTGACTATGGATAGTAGTATGGTACGAGGTCGATGACGTAAGCCCTGTCGTTGGTTGACAGACTCAGTCTTTTGTCAACAAGACAACATCAACAAGTAATAGTTACATGGATTCGTAGGTTGTAGTCAAGCAGTTTTCTTGGATACCGGTCTGTCTACATCAGTACAATCGTCATGCCTCATTGTGGTATTCTCTTTGCGCATGTGAGGATAGCGCTAGCGCCAGGGCCAGTACTGCAGTAGGGACCGACCGTCCGTACGGCAGATGTCAGGGAGTCCTAAAATACCGGTATTTTGCGACTCACTGGTCGATGAGCTGCTGAAATAATATAATGTCATTGATGACGTCGCAACACCTGAGAAAAATATGCCCTTTGTTCGGTGCAGCCCTAGACTTACTTGCGAGCACTGTCTGTCTGTGATTTTCACTCCTGCAGGCCGCAAAGCTGACTCACTCGATCGGGTTTCATCTCTCTCATTAGACATGGTTAGCATTTTACCGTTCACGCTATTTTCGACGGTCGGCGTGTAGAGGGTGAGTCTACTGTTTTTGATTTGTTTTCGAGACACGGTTAGCAGTTCGGCTTCTGAGTCCTGACTCCTGACGCAACGATAGACGTGTGAGGTAACCCTAGTTGGAATCTTACCGTTTCGTTCTCCCGCTAAAAAGAGCTTTCTATCGTCGAAACGGTACCAAACCGACGGTACTTTGGGTTTGGGTACGAGTACCGTTGGATCCAGCGTGTAAACTGTAAAATACCATGTCTACACACACAAACAACGGTGCAGGCCCACCGTCGAAAATAGCGTGAACGGTAAAATGCTAACCATGCCTAGTCTCTCTCTCTCTCGTCTACCATGGTCTGTAAATCAGGTACATGTACCTGATTTACATGATGCAGTAGCAGTGCACGTAACCGTTGCCCCAGCCCAGGTGCCTGCTGAATAACTGATTATGTGTGTACGCCGACTGCGAGATGTAGCACGTGATTCATCTACACTTGACGTCAGTGTGCATGATATCAGAGTTTATTCATGACAACTAACTTGCGAAACTCATACAATGATTATGTACTACTAGTACTAGCAAGAGTTAGTGCACAAAAGTCAAAACTACTACGGACAGTGTAGATGGGCTTTTTAGTTTTACGGACCTGTCGATACAATCATGACATGATGTACAGTCCTGTACATCATCAGGTCTGATTCTGTACATCTACAGTCATGTACATCATGTACATGTATTATGTAGAGTGCAGTTCACGCAAGTGTGCAAACACTTCGCTTGTGTATGGTGTGCAGTCTATACCACCATGGTGCGCAGTCATGAAGTTGAGATTTCTCAATCGTGAGAGCTGGCACGGATTGTTAAGAGCATGTCTGAGAAAACCAGAACATATGTGCAAGTCGATCTCTCCGATTTCGCTCAATTTTTGCAGGTAGGTTTGCTTTGGGGTGTAGATTGACATTCCAAAGCCCGTGCAAAATCTTTTGAAGGGAACCATGAAATTGGCATACCCCTCAATATTGGCCCAATATCGGCACGATTTATGGGTCTACAAACGAGCCACGGCACAGCGTACAAGAACAAGCTACGACCAAAACTCCATCAAGCCAACATTACCTCACCTTAAAAGAGTTCTTGGGGCAGCACCACTTAGCCACGCCAGCATCCCAGAAGACGAGGGCAATCATCCCTTGACGCCACAAATGATCGTCTTGAAAATAGCCAAATTACAAGCGCTGATAAAACAGCGAGCTACGTCCTCAATTAGCAAACACTATACACCGGCAGATAGTCGAACACCTCTTCTAGCACTGAGGACTTGTCCCCCATCATCCTTTTTGGGTTTTCTTGAAATAAACAATTTTGATTTTTTCCACTCGACCATTCTGAAATACGTCCAAACTCATACCTGCGCAGGAAAGCTCGCCCCTCCGCTCTAGTCAGCAATTTCTACTCCAACACCACTCCCAACGCTGCAGAACAAAGGGTATTGTTGACTCTGACAAGGAAAAGCAGCGGTGATCACTTGTCACTCCAAATGACAAGCTTCTCCTTGCGCCACCAACATTTTTCGGTGCAACAATTGATGCAAAAGTGACTGAATTTTTGCGTGTAGTTTTTGGAATTGTTCGTGATTGTACGAAGTACATATTCGCTGTTGCATCAATTTTGCACCATTTACATTGCAGTGCCACTAGTGGTATTACCTGCATGCGTATTGAGTCAAACAATGTTACCTCTGTATAATTATGCTTATCGTGGCTATCAAGAGCTTCGATGCAAATTCCCAGCTGACGAATGGTGTCCAGCTTGTGTTCAGCTCAGCTGGCACTCACAACTCATAATAATTGCGTTCTAGACGCCAGATGAGATGTTTCAGCTACAATGTGGACAAAAAGTCGGTGTTCTTCATCTTCTGTCCATCCTCAATAGCACGTTCAAGCAAATACGTCTGAAACACAGTAGCGACAATCCGACAGCGGCGACACGCCGTCTTCTCCGAATGAGCTTCTACCGTTCTAGTTCAGATTCCCCCAAAAATGTCAAAATAAATAATAGATTTCCACCAAGCTCGCTAGAATCTTGCGAACCGTCAACATGCAGGCATTTCAAGTGTTCGAGCGTGCGTAGATTCTGCTCAGCGGCTCAAGAACATTCGCCAAGCGAAAAAAAGTCGATGAGAAAGATGTAATGGTGGACGAAATTACGAAAATCGGAAGAAGGTATTCGACCCAGTTCGACTATCCTGGACTGGATTGGCAACGTCCAACAATCGGATTCGTATTCTATGGGGTCTCATGAGCTAGTGTGCCAAAGGGCGTTTAGTTGGAGCTTCAGTGCATCACCTTCGCCGAAAGAGGCCCTTTCTGAGATTTGGCCGATGGACTAATGATACAGGGTGTCATTTCGCGGTATAGATAAAGACGGCTCATGAGCTCATCAGGTGTCCAGAAATAGACTCTGACGGAGAGCCAAGGATTTATTTATAGAACAGAAAATGGACCAAAGAACTACAAGGTACGGTACAATGTTCACTAACACCACCAGATACTAAGCAATCAGCTCATGCGATAACATTGCACGACACTGACCGAGGGTACTGACGTTCTACAACTAACTGGCTAATAGCTTTAGCACATCTTGGATACGCACTCCAACAGCTTTCCAACTATTACTTGGAAGGTTCTTAGTTATAGAAATAACATAAGGAGGGGGAGGTGAGCGCAACCAATATAAGCACGAGCTGAAAGTAGCTCAGCTAGCTGTGAAGGACGTTGGAGGATGTTCATGCATGTCGATGACGATACTGGCAAGACCATTGGAAGACTGGGGTGTTGGCGTCCACGCCGTCCAGTGTACAGACACCAGTCACATTTCCTGTGTCTTTTGCAGCATACAGGCTGAGACTCATCACTGTAGAGTCCACTACTGCATGAGTTTTATTTGTACAATACATGGCAGGCGTACACAGTGTGCCTCGCAGGACTGCGTGATGCTGCAGAAGACCAGGTTCAACCTTTCTGGACGGCCATTCAGCGACGGTTGGCTACACGATCCTGGAGGAATTAGATTCCAGTGAAAACCCAAGATTCTTTTGCTCCTGGACGCTCCGACGTGTTGTGATATCTGCCAGGTGCGCAGTAACTAGTATTTTCATCGCTATAGCGAGGACGACGCCGATCGGCAAACTCTCGCTCACAGCCATCACCAGCCTCTCAAAACGAACACTTTGCATCCCCAGAACGTACCTCGTAAGTAGCTCAGCTTTCCGTCCTGTCAACAAAACACCCTGCTTTCGTAGATAATCTCTCAGCTGCTTTATAGTCCAAGAAGGCTGAGGAACCTCCTCTACCAGCTCTCCGACACTACTCGTACCGACTCTGCCGTCCTCACCCTCCATGACCGTGTGACTCGACTGTGCACCAGCTCTGTCCACTCGAAAAAAACAAAACCAGCAAGAAAGTGTGTACTTTGTCTGCTTGACCCAGCGCTGCTGCATGCGCGCTGCTGCAGCGCTGGGTCACCTGACGCCCCCTGCGCGTACGCTTGCCCCCTTTCGACCCCCCTACCATTATTTGCGCAAAAGGTCTATTAACGGCTTCCAGTGACGTAATCACAGTTTGACATTCCTACATGTAGTTACTTTTCGTAGTTCTTTTCCTTTCTTTGAGGGTGTAGATCACTGCGTACGAACACGAGGGCAGGACCGCTGAATCCAGCCCGCGCCGCGATAGCGTCAAGGGTTGGATGAACAGCCGTACTGTGCCGAGTATACCACCCATGGCGCAGAGAGGTACCAGCTGCGTATTATAAATCTATGAAAGGAGGCTTCCCTGTACCATAACTTACTTGACCTGTCTGTGTATTTGTTCACTTTGCCAGTTGCAGTTTTACCTAAGCTAACAAGCAGCTGCTCGCTCTTGTCGAGAGCAATGATTGGCAAACCAGGAGCCAGAGATGCTGGCCGAGGTCGAGGAAAGAGAGGTGGAGGAAGTTATCGCAAAGGATCCAAGGCCAGAATTTCACACCAAGCACCACAGCGTGCAGAGGAGCTTGTCAGCAATGAGTACAGGTATTACGAGCCGGAGCCATCACGGGATGATGAGTTTGATGAGGAAATAATGCAGAGGAAATACCAGCGGCAAAAAGACGATGCCAAACAGTTTTCAGGGCTGCTACATCAACCTCTCAATACGGCTCTGCACCAGCACCGTCAAGACGCGATATTGCCAGAGGCTGACATTGGCATCGATCTGAACGCGCTGGCAAAGAACTTGCTCTCTATTCCTGTGCACACTCGCCTCAACATCAGTGCACACCACCTTTCTAGTGCCACTATCGCTGAATTCCAACGAAGTGCTAATGCTAGTGCAGAGAGGGTGAAATCCTGCTACAATTCTACCTCCCAGCAACGACTAGTTCACGCCACGGACATTTCACCCGCACCCATTCAGCAGTACATCGCAAGGGCAAGGATCCAGGATCTGCCTACTGTTGCGGATAACGTTACTACTGCACTCAGCACTAGCAGCAGTGGTGAGCAGAAAAGCGTTCCAGCACAGTCTGATCCTGGCCCCTGTAACTCTGCTCCAGCTGCTTCACCAATCCAGCAGGTTCAGCCTACTCCACAACAGTGTGGTCCGTATGCTCAAGTCAGCGATGGGAAAGATGGTGATGGTGATGCTGTGTTGGATGCTGTATTAGCCCTGCCAACAGCATCAGCAACACCTGCAGCAGTTACTTTGACTAGCACAACCACTGCACCAGCACGAAGACGCGACCCGACGCCAGCACCAAGAGTGACAAATGGACTGCAGACTGCAGCAGGAGCCATTGGCCACAATGGTGATGCGTCAGCACATTGCGCACCCACAACGTCGCTGACCAGTGTTCTTGTCACGACCACAACTTCCAGAAGTCCAGCCACTGCAAGCAATAGCTCTAGACAGAACCTTGTGTCATCGAGCCACATGTCCGCCAAGCCAACAGCAAGTGCCAGTATGGGACAGCGCGTGACCAACAAAGGTGCTCCCAACAAAGGTGCTCTGGTAGCCAACAAAGGTGCTCCAGTTGCGGCCATTGGAGCCGGACTTATGAACATGGACACTGTATCAACGAGTAAACGTTCTGCTGCTGTTGCAGCCGTGGCGAATGCAGATGACTATGACGATGATTAGGACTTCCTGCTTGCTTTGTAGTACAGCAACAGCAGCAGCAGCAACAGCAGCAGCTATGCTGTAATGCCCTTTTCTGGACTCACTATGCACACGCTGTAACTATAGGCAACCTATAGCTGTGATGATACTTCTGTTTGGTGTTGTCGTTAGAAATCTTTCTTCTCACACTGTTGTTGTTGTTGTTCTTATTCCTTGGAGCTGGTCTCCATTAATCTTTCGTCCAAATGCAGGCATTGGTCTGCATTGTCAATCGTTATGTTTCTTTCA